CAAAGTAATTTTTAATTACTGTCTTAATTTTGTTTTTTGCCGAAGAGTTATTCAGTAGAAAGTTGTTTAATTTCCACTTTTTTGGTAGTTTTGAGAGATCTTGGTATTGATTTCTGCTTTTATTACACTATGGTCTGAGAATCTGGTTGGTATGGTTTTGATTTCTTTGAATTTATTGTGATTTGCTTTATGTCCAAGGATGTGGTGGACCTTAGAATATATTCTGTGTGTGGATGAGAAAAATATATATTCTGTGGTTGTTGTGTGGAGTACTCTGTATAGGTTGATTGGGTCCAATTGGTCAAGTGTCATATTTAAGTCCAGAATTTCTTTGTTAGCTTTCTGCCTCAGTGATCTGTCTAACTCTGTGAGTGGGGTGTTGAAATCCCCCATCATTATTTGTGGCTGTCTAAATCTTTTCATTGGTTAGGAAGAACTTACTTTATGAATCCAGATACTTCTATATTGGGTGTGTAATATGTCTTATCAACTCTTGATTCTGATTTTTCTCTACCTCTGGAGTATGTTGCTAAGAATTTTGTTAGTATCACTGAAATTTTAGCTTTCATGGAATTTTTTGCATCTAAGATCTTCCATATTCTTCTCCATGTAAAATCAGCCTCTCTTGGGCAGGGTTGAAGAGCTGCAAGTACTTATGACCAGCCATGACCTTGTTTGGAACTTCTATAATAAGGTGCCACAGGTAATGGAAGCTGTTGGATGTAGCAGTATTCTCTACTTGCCCACAACAGATGCTGTGTAACATGGGTCTGGAAAGAATGGGAGTTGTCAGTCTTTAAGGTCTGCCTTACTCTACTCAGTGTGAAACTTTTGTGCCTCAAAGTTGTATCTGAGAAGTGGAGGGGGAAAACAGGTCCCAGCTTAAATATCATAGACTACAACTTTTCTTGTTAGGAATCACTAATTTTTCTTGAATAAATGCTCCTGAATTTGCTTTATGCCATTTGATCATTTTCACACCTGAAATGGTTGTTTCCAGTAATTTCTCCAGTTTTATTGTTGGTTTGTTTGAGAGAGAATTTGCTGAGCTTATTACTGCTATTCTGGGATGCTTATTCTTATTCATATTTTTAATTATACATTTGTTAGTTTAACAAAAAGAATTATGCATTTTGTGCAACAATGCAATGTCCTAGTCAACGGGGATTACATAGATGAACAAGATAGATACAGACCACAGCCTTTGAGGAGCTAACAATATTGCAGACTATTTTGTTATGGAGAATCTTTGCTTAGACTACGTGAACATTTTATTTTTTGTGTCTAGCTTATCATTTGGGGAGGTGACCAAGCCCACTCTGTTGAAACATCACAAAGCCAAGTTTGTTCTCAGAGAAAAAGAATGCTGTGATCAATTGTTAATGATTGGCATGGGTACAAGAGGGACTCTTGAGGGTGGCATGTTATGATTTTGCCAAACCTAACATATAAATCTTGAGTTTCATGCTAATGTTGGATGCTGAAGAAGTCACAAAAGATCTGCTTAACATTCCTGGAACCAATATCAGTGGGTTTCTCAGATGAGATCTTTAAAATGTTGTATGGCCAATGCTGTTCATCTCAGGATATAAATAGTCCAGGAGATCTTTGAGTACAGACATCTAAACTGAAGTGGGGAGAGGGGAGAAAGCCAGTGGATTGCATGTTACCAGGAAATAGCATAGGCTAATCAAATGTTCAAAGAATCTGTAGACTAGATTATTCTCTTTCATTGCTGTGTTATTCCAGTGACATTATGCAAAGAAAGGAGGATGGGGCAGGTTGCCAAGACAAATAACATAAGTTTTTTTTTTTGCAGTTTTTAGCATGGCTGTGAATGTTCTCCATGACATGCTTACCTTTTCAAACTCATGCTCCTCCTCTCACTCCTCTATTAAAAATTTACTCTCTCCAGTTAGTGTAGTGTTTATACCCTCTGTCCACAGTGTTCCTGATGTGTTTTTCTATTCCATTGCTCATGGGGTTGCTACTGCCTGGACCACTGTAATACTTATCCAACATCCTTCCTCTGACTAATTTCTAGTTCTCCTTCAGGATCCAGGTCAGGGGTCACCTATTCCAGAAAGCCTTCCTTTGTTTTCTTCTATTGAAATTCTCTGTTAACATTTTTCTTCTCTCTTGTACTAAGCTAGGAGCTCCCTGAGGGCATGGAATGTATCTGATTCATCTAACACCAGTGCATACAGTATAGTCCACAATACACGCTTAATAAATTTATTCTCGTTGTAGAATGTCAATGAAGCAAAGTAAGAGAAGGTACTTTGGTTCACTGAGCACCAAGTGAGGCAGAAGAACAAGAGAAGAGAGTTAATTAAGAGCAGTAGGATTTAGAGTCAGACAGATCTGGGTTTGAATCCTTATCACTTCACTTCATAGCTGAGAGACCCTATTCAGCCTCCTGTTTCCTCTTCTGTGTAATAAATAAGGTCACTTCCTCTGAAATCATAGGGCCTGGGATAAAGTCCCAGTTCCAATACTATCTTAGCTATGTGACTTTGCAAATGTCTCCTAAAGAATTTTGTGTCTAAATTCCTTCATCTGTAAAATGAGGACACTAATAGTTTCTCCTTTTTATAGGGCTGCTGTAAGATAAAATGAGATGAGAGATGTAAAACTCAGAACAATTCTAGGAATAGATAAAACAAGGAAAACACATATAACTAATACTATGAAGTAAAGCAGGGATATTGATATTACCTACATTAATATCAATATAAACATATACATGTCTTCAATAAATGGTATTATCATCACTATTATCAATAATTTTAAAGTACTCTACACATTATTACATTAAATCCTTCCAACCATCCTTCAAAGTCAACGTAGCATCCTCACCTTAGCAGTAAGAAAGCCAAGGCCCAAAAATTAAATATCTAATTTAATTTACCCATCTTGTAAGTAGGAGGAGAATGTCTCAGTAGGAAAAAAAAAAAGAATCAGCAATAAAACATTAACCTATTTGGCATCCAACAATTCTACATCTTTGACAAAAGATCTCCCAAACCTCCTATATTTTCAGCTTTAGTAAAGACAACAAAAACAAAACATAACTGAGTATTATCAACCCATACATGTAGTGAAAATGACATTGCATTTAAAGTCAGATAGAATACAACTGAATTTCAGTCCTGACCCTGACCCTTAAATCACTTTATAAGTCATTCAGTTTCCCTTCTCAGGTTTTACACAAAGATAACTTCAGTTGCTGTGAGGGATTTGGGGGAAACATAAATGAGATAATGTATAGAATTTCTGGCTCCTAGTACTTCATATATATTAGAAACTTGCTAAATTGCAGTTATCATCTATCATGAGTCTTGTATCAATATTACCTAGAATATCATCTGGCTTACAAGGAACACTCTTTAAATGTGTTCAAGACTAAACTAGAGGGAAAAGTTGCAAACCATAGGAAGCCTCAAGCTGAGGAAAATCCTCCCCAAAAGGTATAAACAGTATATTTCTCCTTGGATTCTAGCCTACTGACTAAAGTATTTTACCTGTCTTCAGAAACCGAGGAGCTAGGTGCTAGAAACTTAAACAGAGCAATTTAGGCAGCAACTTTTTTCAAAGACTTAAGAAATTAAGGTCAGGCATGGTGGCTCATGTGTGTAATCCCAGCACTCTGGGAGGCCAAGGCAGGCAGATCATCTGAGGTCAGGAGTTCGAGACCAGCCTGGCCAACATGGCAAAACCCTGTCTCAACTGAAAATACAAAAATTAGCCTGGTGTGGTGGCAGACTCCTGTAATCCCAGCTACTTGGCAGGCTAAGGCAGGAGAATCGCTTAAGCCTGGAAGGTGGAGGTTGCAGTGAGCTGAGATTGTGCCATTGCACTCCAGCCTGGGTAACAGAAGCGAAACTCCATGAAAGAAGGAAGGAAGGAAGGGAGGGAGGGAGGGAGGGAGGAAGGAAGGAAAGAAAGAAAGAAAGAAAGAAAGAAAGAAAGAAAGAAAGAAAGAAAGAAAGAAAGAAAGAAAGAGAGAGAGAGAGAGAGAGAGAGAGAAAGAAAGAAAGAAAGAAAGAGAGAGAGAGACAGGAAGACAGGAAAGAAGAAATTAAGAGTGAGTGACCAAAGCCAGGGAGAGAGTAAGGGTGAGGAAATTAAGGATAGAGACTATTTAATATCCTCTCTCTCATCCTCCACAACCCTTATGTTAATTAATTTACATGTATTATTTCATTTAATCTTAACAGCAACACTGCAAGGCATAGATTACCCTGACTTCCTAGATAGGAAATAAGTTGAGAAACATTCAATGTTTTCCTCTAAGATGCAGAAGTAGAAAATTGCAGAGCAAAGGATTCCAAATTCCAACTTTAAGTGGACCACAGGTTTTCTGGGTGAGAATGCGTATTTGATGAAGACTTTCCTATCTTCATCACAAAGAATAGTGTGGTTCCCTGGGACAAGACCCTGGAGAAACCATAGAAACTGACCTAGTACGGATCCGTGGGCCTTTAGACCTCACATAATCATGATCCATCCATAGCTTAAAAACTAGGTGAAGAAAACTAGTTTGGTGAACAATAGAATGAATTGAATTCAAAGGGGATGATAGCTAAGGCAAGTAAACGATCCCTTGGAGAATTGTCTTTTGTACGAGAATCTTCTGGGAAGCCAGAGATCCTGAGAAAAGCTTAACTTGGTTTAATTCAGAGCAGCCAGGGGAGACTTTGCATCTAGTGTGATCACACTGTGTGATAGAAGACAAGTGGCTGAACCTCCCTGAGGCACAGTTCTGTAAAATGTGGATACTCATATGCACTTGTAGGGTTTTGGGGAGAAACCAGATATTGGCAAAGTATATTCCACATATGAAATTAGCAACTGTTTTCTGGAGTTTTCAATCACACAACATTTTTATACCTGCATGTTTAAAACTTGTCCAACTGCAAAAGAAAATTATGTTTTCCTTGGAAACATACATCTCTATTTCTTTAAGATTACAGAATGCAAGGAATACAATTAGGTACCTGTGTAAGCAAAGTTGAAAGGCCGTGTTAGAGGGACATGATGCTTAGGTGCCACTGTGGGATGTGAGGGATATAAGAATACACCATCATCACCTAACATCTCCACCAGCTCTTTACGCAGGCTTTCTTCCACTGCCTTAAACTTTTGGTATTTCTCATTGTTATATTTGAGCTTTTCTTCCAACAAAGCCAGCCCTACAGAATGATAACATATATCAAATTAAGGTAATAAACTTCATTTTAATTCATAGTGTTTTTTATCTTTCCTTATTCAAGTAATACATGTTCATTATAGAACACTGAGAAAGTAAGTGATGAAAAAGAAAACTTTATAATCTTACCATCCATTGTCAATCATTTACTTTTAACTCCTTCTAGTTTGTTTTAGTAATGCTACATATAACATTTCTAGCCTCTGCTACTGCATAGTACATCATAAGGATTGTTTACATAATTGAAAACCCATTATAGCTGAGCACGGTGGCTCATGCCTGTAATCCCAGCACTTCTCAAGGCCAAGGCTGGCAGATCACTTGAACCCAGGGGTTCAAGACCAGCTTGGGCAATATGATGAAACCCCATATCTACTAAAAATACAAAAATTAGCCAGGTGTGGTGGTGAGTCCCTGTAGTCCCAGCTACTTAGGAGTTGAGGCAGGAGGATTGCTTAAGCCCAGGAGGTCAACGCTGTAGTGAGTCATAATTGCACCACTGCACTCCAGCCTGGACATGAGAGCAAGTCCCTCAGAAAAGGGAAACAGAATAAAAGTTTGGAAAATTTGCAGCCTTACGATGGATAGAAAAGAAAAAACCCATGTTCTAAGGAGAAATTCAAGCCGGCTGCAGAAATTTACATAAGTAAGGAGGATCCAAATGTTAAGAAAATGTCTCCAGGGCATTTCAGAGTCCTTTGTGGCAGCCCCTTCCATCACAGGTTCAGAGACCTAAGAGGAAAGATGGTTTCCTGGACCAGGCCCAGGGCCCTCTTGCTGTGTGCAGCCCAGGGACTTGGTGCCCAGCATTCCAGCCCCTCCAGCTATGGCTGGAATCATGGCTAAAAGGGGTAAGGTTGAGCTCAGGTAATTGCTTCAAAGGATGGAAGCCCCAAGCCTTGGTGGCTTCCATGTGGTGTTGGGCCTGTGGGTGAACAAAAATCAAGAATTGATGTTTCAGAACCTCTGCCTAGATTTTACAGTTTGTATAGAAATGCCTGACTGCCCAGACAGAGGTGTGATGCAGGGACAAGGCCCTCATAGAGAACCTCTGCTAGGGCAGTGTGGAAGGGAAATGTGGGGTTGTAGCACCCACACAGAGTTCCCACTGGAGCACTGCCTAGTGGAGCTGTGAGAAGAGGGCCACTGTCCTCCAGACCCCAGAATGGTAGATCCACTGATAGCTTACACAGTACACCCAGAAAAGCCACAGACACTCAATGCCAACACATGAAAGCAACTTGGAGGGAGGCTATACCCTGGAAAGCCATAGGAGTGGAGCTGCCCATGACCATGGGAACCCACCTCTTGCATCAGCATGACCTGGATTAGAGACATGGAGTCAAAGGAGATCATTTTGGAGCTTTAAGATTTCACTGCCCCCCTGGATTTTGTACTTGCATGGGGCTTTTAGTCAAAAATTTATATTTAGATATTAAGAAATATTACAGGACATCAAACTGGTCTAGGTAGAAGATGATTTACATACCAATGGAAGGGATGGTGTACACTGACAGACCCAGGCACCATTTGATCAACTCCCACAGAGGATTGACATGTTTCCCATGGTCACTAAGCAAATCCACAAATTTCACAGGTTCCTGAGATTGAAAACGAGAAATAAAATACAAGAATATTTTCTCAAAATAGTAAAGACAAAAATATCTATAAAAGTTTTATAGTAGGATTATGCATAACAGCCAAATACCAGTCAATTGATGAATACATAAATAAAATTTATTAATAAAATATTAGTCACACAATGTAAGTGCTGATATATGATACAATATAGATAAAACTTGAAACATTGTGCCCAGCGAAAGAAGTCAGTAACAAGACACCACACACTTATGAGACTATTTGCATGAAATATCCAGAATAATCAAATCTATAGAGACAGAAAGTAGATTACTGGTTACTTAAGGCTATGGAGGGGCAAGTGGACTGTAGAGTGACTGATAATGAGTATGAGGTCTCTTTTAGGAATGATGAAAATATTCTAAAATTGTGATGATTGTTGCACAATTCTGAATGTACTAAAATCCATTACATTGTATGCATTAAATAGGCACATTGCATGGTATATGAATTATAACTCAATAAACCTGTTATAGGGAAGTGGAGGCAGAGCAGGATGGCTGAATAGAATGCTTCAGCAATCAGTCTCCTTGAAAGAACACCAAATTAAACAACTATGCATGCAATAAAGCACATTCATAATAACCAATAAAGTCAGCAATCACAATCACTGGTTTTAACAAAATATCAATAAAAGAGTCATTGAAGAGTGTAGGAAAGATGGTCTTGTATTGCCTACACCAACCCTCCCCCATTGTCCATCAGCACCTCATTGTAAGACAATTTGTTTGCTTACAGGACTGTGAGTTAAGTGAATGGGCTACTTTGCATTGGAACCCAGTCTTGCCCTGTCCCACTGGTATGCAACATAGTGAAAAATTATGCTAGCACCAAAGCAGGGAACATTTATAGTGGTTCTGAATGAGGAAAATTCTAAGCTCCAGTGGAAGGAGTCCTGGCTGGCTCTACCACTAGCTGACTAACATGGCCCTAGGCCTGAAGCAAATTTGAGTGACCATCAGGCCACAAGGAATAATAGTCCTTGGAAAAACCCTGCAGCTACACTGTTCTCTCAGAGGCAATTGATTTTGGATGCACCCAACCTAGTGCAACACCAGCTGTGGTGGCCAAAAGAGTGCATACATCACCCTTCCTTTAACTCCAGGCAATGTAGCTGGTGAAGAGACTTCTGTGGCTTTGGGAAAGGAGTGGGAAGAGTACAGAGGATTTTGTCTTGCAACTTGGGTACCAGCTTAGCTATAGTAAAATGAAGCAACAAGGAGATCCCTGAAGCCCCCAATAACAGGCCTTAGCTCCTGTATGGTCTTTCTAGACCCACTCTAGTCAGAAGGGAATTGACTGTACTGAAGGGAAGAACCCAGTACCAGGAGGATTCCCCACCTTCAGACTGAAGAGCACTTGAGTCTCCTATAAACATAAGTCAGGCAGTAGTTGCCATGAGCCTTGGATGAGACCCAGTACTGTGCTAGCTTAATGTTTAATCTAGCACTTTCCCAGCTGTAGTGTCCACAGGAGTACACATGTCACCCCTTTCCCAACTCTAGACAACTCAGCATAAAAACAGACTCCTTCATATTGGGGGAAAGAGAGAGAAGAGAGTGACGTACTTTACCTAGTGACCCAGGAAACTTTCCCTTATATTACTCAACACCACCAAAGCAGTGCCTCTAGGAGTTGGCAAGAGTCACAGCATTCCTGAGCTTAAGACGCCACCTAGTGCTGTTATGGATTCAGTGAAAAAACACTCTGATGGTAGTTTCTTTTGCTGTGCAGAAGGCTGCTGCAGAAGTTTTAATTTAATTAGATCCCATTTGTCAATTTTGGCTTTTGCTGCTGTTGCTTTGGTGTTTTTAGACATGAAGTCTTTGCCCATGCCTATGTCCTGAATGGTACTACCTAGGTTTTCCTCTAGGGTTTTATGGTATTAGGTCGAACATTTAAGTCTCTAATCCATCTTGAATTAATTTTCGTATAAGGAGTAAGGAAAGGATCCAGTTTCAGCTTTCTACTTATGGCTAGCCAATTTCCCAGCACCATTTATTAATAGGGAATCCTTTCCCCATTTCTCGTTTCTCTCAGGTTTGTCAAAAATCAGATGGCTGTAGATGTGTTAAATTTTTGCAATCTACTCATCTGACAAAGGGTAATATCCAGAACCTACAAAGAACTCAAACAAATTACAAAGAAAAAAACAAACAACCCCTCCAAAAGTGGCAAAGGATATGAACAGGACAGTTCTCAAAAGAAGACATTCATACAGCCAACAGACACATGAAAAATACTCATCATCACTGGGCCATCAGAGAAATGCAAATCAAAACCACAATGAGATGATCTATCCACCAGTTAGAATGGCGATCATTAAAAGTCAGGAAACAACAGGTGCTGGAGAGGATGTGGAGAAATAGGAACACTTTTACACTGTTGGTGGGATTGTAAACTAGTTTAACCATTATTGGAAAGACAGTATGGTGATCTCAAGGATCAGAACTAGACTGTACCATATGCCCAGCCATCCCATTACTGGGGTATACGCAAAGGGGATTATAAATCATGCTGCGTACAATGACACATGACAGCGTACTGTTTATGCGGCACATATTGCACAATAGCAAAGACTTGGAATCAACCAATGTCCTCAGTGACAGACTGATTAAGAAATGTGGCACATATGACACCATGGAATACTATGCAGCCATAAAGAAAAGGATGAGTTGATGTCCTTTGTAGGGACACTGGAAGCAATGGAAACTCAGTTCATTCGAGTAGCAAACTATCACGAAGAACAGGGAAACACAAAACAGCCGCATGTTCTCACTCAGTAGGTAGGAACTCTTGAAACATGAGATGTCCACTGGAGGCTGTTGGGAAGGGACATCACCAGCGCACGCGGGGCGCTATCATGGGAGGGCGGAGGGGAGGGAGGGATTGCACTTGGAGTTGATACCTGATGGTAAATGACGAGTTGTTGGGTGGCTTGACGACGGTTGATGGGTGCCCAGCACAGCAGACATGGCACAGTATATTAATGTAACAAACCTGCCGTTGCACATGTACGCCAGAAGCTTAAAGTATATAGATAATAATAAAAATAAAATAAAATAAAATTAAAAATACCATAAAAAAAAAAAAGAAAGAAAACTCACCTTACAGGACAACACTCACTCTGCTTGGAGTACATGGAAAGTCTTTTCAATAAGGATGGGCAAACCAAGCACAAACCTGTGAATATAGGAAAAAGCATTAATGTTAAGATATTAATAAATGTCCATAAGCATCAAAAACATCCAGGAAAACATAACCTAACCAAATGAACTAAATAAGGCACCAGTGACCAATATAGGAGTGACAGAGATATGTGAATTTTCAGGCAGAGAATTGAAAATAGGTGTCTTGAGGAAGCTTAATGAACTTAAAGACAATGCAGAGAAAGAATTCCAAATTCTGTCAGATACATTTTTTAAAGATTCAAATTTAAAAAGAAGAAAAATTCAGTTGACAAACTGAAAATGAATGAGGATCTCTCAAATGCATTATTAATCAAATAGAAAAATTAATTAGTAAGCTGGAAGATAAGTTGTAGGCTCGAGGTTCCAATATGGCCAAATGGGAACAGCTCTAGTCTGCAGCTCCCAAGATGAGCGACACAGAAGACAGGTTATTTCTGCATTTCCAACTGAGGTACCAGGTTCATCTCACTGTGGCTTGTCAGACAGTGGGTGCAGTCCATGGAGCAGGGGAGGGGGGCATCGCCTCACCCAGGAAGCACAAGGGGTCAGAGAATTCCCTTTCCTAGCCAAAGGAAGCCATAACAGATGGTACCTGGAAATTCAGGACACTCCCCCCAATACTGTGCTTATCCACAGCCTTAGCAAATGGCACACCAGGAGATTTCATCCAGCACCTCTCTTGGAGGGTCCCACACCCACAGAACCTCACTCACTGCTAGCACAGCAGTCTGAGATCGAACTGCAAAGTGGCAGTGAGACTGGGGGAGGGGCGCCCACCATTACTGAGGCTTGAGTAGTTAAACAAAGCAGCCTGTAATCTCAAACTGGGTAGAGTCAACCACAGCTCAAGGAGGCCTGCCTGCCTCTGTAGCCTCGACCTCTGAGGCAGGGCATAGCTGAACAAAGGGCAGTAGGAACTTCTGCAAACATAAACGTCTTGTCTCACAGCTTTGAAGAGAGTAGTGGTTCTCCAAGCATGGAGTTTGAGATCTGGGAATGGACAGACTGCCTCCTCAAGTGGGTCCCAGAATCCTGAGTAGCCTAAGTGGGAGACACCTCCCAGTAGGGGCTGACTGACAACTCATGCAGCCAGGTGCCCCTCTGAGACAAAGCTTCCAAAGGAAGGATCAGGCAGCAACATCTGCCGTTCTGCAATATTTCCTGTTATGCTGCCTCTGCTGCTGATACCCATGCAAACAGGGTCTGGAGTGGACCTCCAACAAACTCCAACAGACCTGCAACTGAGGGTCCTGACTGTTAGAAGGAGAACTAACAAACAGAAAGGACATCCACACCAAAACCACATCTGTATGTCACAATCATCAAAGACCAAAGGTAGATAAAAGCACAGATGGGGAGAAACCAGAGCAGAAAAGCTGAAAATTCTAAAAATCAGAGCACCTCTTCTCCTCCAAAGGAACACAGCTCCTCGCCAGCAACGGAACAAAGCTGGATGGAGAATGATTTTGACTATTTGAGAGAAGAAGGCTTCAGATCATTGGTAATAACAAACTTCTCCAAGCTAAAGAAGGATGTTCAAACCCTTTGCAAATAAGACAAAAACCTTGAAAAAAGATTAGATGAATGGATAACTAGAATAAACAGTGTAGAGAGGTCCTTAAATGACCTGATGGAGCTGAAAACCATGGCACAAGAACTACATGATGCATGCACAAGCTTCAGTAGCTGATTTGATCAAGTGGAAGAAAGGGTATCAGTGATTGAAGATCAAATGAATGAAATGAAGTGAGAAGAGAAGTTTAGTGAAAAAG